TTTTCTGCTCAAATTGTTGCATATGGCGTCTATATGTCGTAGCCGCTTACGAAATTCAGCCGCTAACGAATGATGCGTAATCGGCTAGCCGATTACGAATGAAATTTTTTCGCTAGCCGTGCACGATTTGTAATCGGCTTCTGTGAACATGGCTCAATTCAAATTAGCCTTTGATTTCAAACTATTTATGCAAAACCCAAATCTGCAAACCAATCACAACAAGTGAAATAAAATTTATAACATTTAACATTTATAACATATTAACGTTTATACAGTCATGGACAAAAGTCTTTACCCCTACCGAGGTCAGCTTTTAAAACGCAAAATTTTTCAACTTTTTAACAAGTTTTAAAAATTGTTTTCAAAGTATTTTGTAGCATTTTTGTAGCAGGACAAAAGTCTTTACCCCTCGAACAAAAAGTGAGAAAAAACCGAGTATTTTAATATTTGGTAGGGCCTCCTTTTGATGAAATTATTGCTTGAATCCTTCTCGGCATCGAGTCGACCAAATCCTGTAAAATTTGAGGACCGATCTTTGTCCAGACGTGTCGAATGAAGTACCATAGCTCAATCTTGGTATTGAAGCGTTTTCCCTTCAATTTCAGCTTCAAAAACGCCCACAAATGTTCGATAACGTCCAAATCCGGACTTTAGGGAGGAGCAGCTACGAGCTGAACTCCATTCGATCGGAACCATCCGGGTAGACGAGCTCTACCACCGTTGGCAAGGCGAACAACTCGTCCCATTAGCAGTTGCGACTTGTGGCATGGAGCGTTTTCCTGGTACAGCAACCATCCTTGTCCAATTTTTGTGGTCGCAAATGGAAGAAGATCGTTCTCCAAAATCGCCTTGTATCGTTGAGCGTCCAAAGTTGAATTGAGAAGAACGAGCGGACCTGGTGAACTTCTAGTCATCGCTCCTGAAAAAAAAAAAGTCAATAGGCATAAAGATAAAAGTTTCTTACCCCACAACATGATTGATCCGCCACCAAATTTGACTGTCTTTACCCCTTTTCAACTTTTTATTTTCTTGCTGTTGTTTCGTTATTTTTCACATAACAATGCTTTATTATTTTTTAATTCTAGTGATGCCTGGAGCCTATCTGACCATTCCCGACAAAGAAAAGATTGTAGAAGCAAGGAAACGAGGCGACAAAGTAAAGCATGTTGCGAGCGTATTCAAATGCAGCCCCGAAACGGTGAAAAAGCTTTGCAAGAAAGAGAAAACGACTGGAATTCTTCACCGAGCATTCAAAACAGGTCGTTCACCCGTCACAACACCCGGAGAAGACAAGGTTCTAATTTTGGCCCACAAAAAGGATCCAAATCTTAATGCTTCCGATGGAGTCAGATTAATCAAGCATCAATTTAACAAGGACATCAAATGGAGTTCAGCTCGTAGCTGCTCCTCCCTAAAGTCCGGATTTGGACGTTATCGAACATTTGTGGGCGTTTTTGAAGCTGAAATTGAAGGGAAAACGCTTCAATACCAAGATTGAGCTATGGTACTTCATTCGACACGTCTGGACAAAGATCGGTCCTCAAATTTTACAGGATTTGGTCGACTCGATGCCGAGAAGGATTCAAGCAATAATTTCATCAAAAGGAGGCCCTACCAAATATTAAAATACTCGGTTTTTTCTCACTTTTTGTTCGAGGGGTAAAGACTTTTGTCCACCTGTTTTGAGGGTTTTTTTTTGTTAACGTCGTTCTTTGTTGCCTAAAATAAATCGTTGTTTCTTTTGGTTATGGGATATAAAACTAGAGTAAAAATGCTACAAAATACTTTGAAAACAATTTTTAAAATTTGTTAAAAAGTTGAAAAATTTTGCGTTTTAAAAGCTGACTTTCGGTAGGGGTAAAGACTTTTGTCCATGACTGTAACATAATAACGCTTATAACTAACAAAACATCAACTAAAATGCATAAAAACAAACTGTTTATTTGTTGGTGCAAGAATTACTGTGATGACATCGGCTATTGCAGAGCATATTGGTTTTGAAGCACACACATCGTCCATTCGTGCATCCATTTGTGCAATTGCAATGTTTGTGGCCTAAAACAAAATTAAATTATAAAAAATAAATCACGATTTTCATACAGCTTTTGGATGGAAAGACAACTTTGAGGTTTTTTTATCATTTGCTTTCTAAAAATAGCAAATGAAAAAATTGGCCCAATAGCTTTCTGAAAAGCAAATCGTTTAGCAAAAAAAATGATTCATCGCAATATTTTCTTTTTGCAGATGTTTATTTTTGAAAGACCTCACTTTGCCATATCGTTGATATGAATAGAAGCTTTTCGAAGGGCTAAAATGCTGACAAGGATTTGAAATAAACTGAACTTGCAATAGTTAGCTTATAAAAATGATTGGAATTTTTCTGGTTAAACTTTAAGACAAATGAAATTTTCATTTACTCTTCTTTTCATAGCCTCTTGTTATGAGCTGGTCTGAGATATACTGTAAATTTTGATTTCAGATTCGGAATCTCCATTCGATTTTCTATTAGATAGGCTCATTTTGAAATCACGGTGAATTTTTTATTGCATTAAGCATCATTTTGGATAATCTTAACAATACTAGTCTGCTTCCAGGTGTTTTCAATAAATTTAATCTTTAGAATGTCACTTTTGCCGCTGTCGCTTTAAACCTTTCGACAGGTGCAATTTCGTCTAAGATGATAAAAAAGCTATTGAAAATTCAAAAACCTAATAGCTGGTTTTGGAGATTAAGGTTTGCCATCAAGACAAAAATAGTTGATTCAGCACTTGAGTTTTGCAATGATCCATTCCATTGCGTCACAGCGGTGGTCGATGAAAGCGCGGGCACAATCAATGCTCTAGAGAAAAAGGTCAATTCTAAATCGATGTATACAAACTACTTGGGCTTTGGCTTTAAAAATGTGGGTAAAAAGGTAACGAGGTACATTCGATAAGGTTCAATAAAATATAGGATCAAAAGTGAGGACATTGTACCGTGGAGTCCATTCACAAGAAAAGCGAGGTTCATCATGGCTGAATTTGGTGAAATGAAAAGTTTTCAAATCAAAGGCACAGAGTTAGTTAGCATGTTTTTATCTTTTCAGAACAAAAACCTTGATTCAACGGACTTACCTGGCGGTGATGAACTCTTGAAAGCCATCATAATCGAGATGAAAATCCACGGTAAACTAATCGAAATCAATGGAACCAATGTCTAAAAATCTATTGCTAGAAAGCTTTGCGATCAACCTGCAAAATTAGAGCAATCATTAGCTTTCTCTGTAACTGCCTCGTGCGTTCACTCATGAAATTCCGATTCTCATCGAGGAGATAAAACGAGTGAGCGACGATTGAAAAGCCCTGGAATTTGAATAAGTACAAAGTTTAATCTAAAAAACCAGGGTTAACATCTCGATTGCGATGAGGAACGTGTACATTGGACAGCCAATCTCTCCAGAAAAGTTGATGATGGGTGGAGCGATTGGATTTTTCAGATTCACGTGGATGAGATCTCGGTCAACCAAAAGATAGACCAACTCTGGGTATTCCTGAGTTGGGAAAATCACAGTGTTATGCCGTTCTTACTACCGTAATCTCGTAACCGTTTTATCTAGCCTTTCTACATGATTGGGTAGTTATTATCAAAGTAATTCTTTAAGTTCAAAATTTGGTCACAAAGAACCGCGTCCCAAAGACTCTCGAGTTTTGGAGATTTGAAGTTCTATAGAATTGCTTTGAATGATTTTTGAATTTCTGAGTAAAGTTTTTTGGAGAATGGTTAACTCTAGGCGGAGGTACGCACTAGAGAAAAAGTGGCCTTAATCCTTGAATACCTTGTATTTTTTTCTGGTTTTTGAGGATTCATAAAGGATATAGAAAGCAAGCGAAACAAGGAGCAGGACTACGGTAGCTTTCAAAAGTTTACAGGTTTTAGAAAAGATCTTAGTCGTGAAAGATTCGATTACTTTTTGAATCATTTCAATGACAATCGGCGTATACATGGCCACTTCTTCCGTCGCTGATTGAATCAACAAAAAGGATACAGTAGGCAGTGTTAAATAATGGAGTGAAGCAATTATTATATAGAATTGTTTCGAGAAACTGAGATAGTTAAATGAAAGGGAAACCTCTTTCAAAAAATACCGAAACCGGTGTTCAACGGGGAGAATTTGATAGTGTCGATAGACAAAGCATTGCGCCAAAGAGAGAAGCATTGCGTTCAACGGGCTGCAGATCATTTGCTAAAGAATTTTCAGTGAAGATTTTGGTCCATTCACATACACAAGTCAATTTTGCCGTGATTCCAAAAAGGGTAAAAGTGATGCCGTGCATTTTCATGCAGTAAATCCCAACGTACCCTTCGACAATCGTCGCATGAAGCACGAGTTCGAGTGCACTGGATAGGAGCTGAAGATGTTAACGATTTAAGTTATCTTAAGAGATTCACCTGTATGTCTTAAAGCTAAGACTTTTTGTTTTAACTTTTAACTAGAGAATTGGTGAAAGTCAAGCCTAGATTATCTCTTGGCGTTTTTTAAAACGTGCCAACTTTCAAAAGCTACCGTAATCTTGTCTCTGGCTTCTATGCGATTCTATTTTTGGGCTGACTAGAATGCCAAAAATGCTAAAAAAAGATAAAGTGGATAAATTATGGTAAGCTTTTGAAAGTTATCACGTTTTAGGGAACGAGCGGAGATTAACAGTTTCATTTCAGCATACTCAAACGTGAAAAACCTATGATATAATGAATAGATTTGGATAATACTATGAGTAAGGATGGTAGTTTTTGAAAATACTGTAAAAAAAAAAAAGTTTACGTCTGTAAGAGTACAACTCATTTCCACACCTGATACCACAATATGTGCGACCTGTAACCCAACATCGATTTTGGCGTTTTTGCATAGATCATCCATATTGTAAAACCGCAAATCGTCAACCCAATCACCCCAGTGATATTCATAAAATGAATATAGTAATAAGGGTAATTTTCTGAGACCATGATAGATCAAATATTTTCTTTTCTTTCAAGTGAGAAAAACTTTAAAAGTCCACACACCACAAACATACAGGCCAACAGGTGCTTTTGTGAGTTTGAAACTCCAGATAAAAAAAGGGAATTTATTTTCATGAAAATTGACATGAAGATTTACAGTCTTTAAATCTTAATTTGATTTTCAAGTCCAGTGATATTCATAAATTGAATATAGTAATAAGGGTAATTTTCTGAGACCATGATAGATCAAATATTTTCTTTTCTTTCAAGTGAGAAAAACTTTAAAAGTCCACACACCACAAACATACAGGCCAACAGGTGCTTTTGTGAGTTTGAAACTCCAGATAAAAAAAGGGAATTTATTTTCATGAAAATTGACATGAAGATTTACAGTCTTTAAATCTTAATTTGATTTTCAAGTCCATTTTATCCCGCTTTTTCAAGGGGACTTCCAAAAATTCGTTGATACTCATAATTGTTCGTCTGCACGGAAATCTTTAGTAAAAGGCGAAAGATTTTCTCGGTCAAATGCAGACGAACCAGAGATGGGAAATGGAAGCAAAGAGATTGGTATGGGTAGAGACCTTTTGCCAGAAAGCGAGCGATTACAGGAGTGCACAAAGGACACCTTCAAATGACTATCCTTTCCACCCACTGTCACTTTGTGCGTTCTCCCTTTCACCCACTAATCGCCCCAACGCCTAAACTCAAGGAGAGCAGAAATAACATTATGTGAATTTTTAAAACTTTCTTAAAAGTACATACAAATCCGGTATATTATTTTAAAACAATTTAAAGTGAGTAACCGTAAATCCTCGATTGTCGGTGCCCATTTTTCGGATCCCCAAAAAATCACATAAGGGGATATCATATTGTTGAAAAAAATTATTTTTGCTGAAATTACTCTAACTCGTTTCCTTTTGCTTTAAAAATACAAAAACACCTTTAAAACAAAAACTTTCTCCTCTGGTCTGATCATTGGGGAATTAATCTTTGGAAATCCATGTGGGAAATCCTTATCATTTTTTGGCAAAAACTTTTTGCAAATTTTTTCTTCGAATCAATTTAAATTTTACTACCATCACTTGTAGGTTATACTTAGTGATAGCATACATCATTTTAAGCACTTTTTACAAAAAGGTTTTGCGAAAAATTTAACTTTAGTTAGGATTTTTAGTTAGGGGTGCCGGGGTCAAATTAAGGTGAGGGGTGCCGCTCTATTAGGGGATTTACGGAATTTACAATAGTAATACAATACATAGTACAGAGTTACAGGGTTACAATATAAATCAAAAGTCAATTTTTTGTGCTTTTAAATGTTCTGTTTGCAGAGATTTTAGTGGATAAACATCCATTTTTCTCCTCTTTTCGATCATTTCGATCAATACGATCGGTCTGTTTAAAGCAGAGGCCAGAAGCCAGAGGATCGTCAAGGATGCCACCAGCCTCTCTCCAATGCTCGACGTCGTCTCCACGGTTGCTGACTGGTCGGGTCTGAAGTTCAACGCCAAGAAATGGGCCTCGCTCCTCGTGGATGGTCACCAACACACCGCCCTCCGCACCCAATTCAACGTCCAAGGCAAGCCGATGGTCATGCTGAAGGAAGACGACACTTACGAACACCTTGGGGTGCCGACTGGAAACCACACCGCGCCCTCAGCCGAACAAGCCCTGCAGAAGATGACGTCCCACGTCGAAGCCCTCGTCTCCTCTCTTCTCGCGCCGTGGCAGAAAGTTGATGCGGTAGGTCAACACTTTTGTCCTACCGTGCATCGCCTTCCATCTCAAGAACGGTGTCGTCCCCAAGAAGCCCCTGACCGATTTCGACAAGAAGCTCAAGGCTGCTGGCAAGAAATGGCTCAACCTACCATCGCGTGCGCCCCCCGAAGTGCTCTACCTCTCCAATCAGATGGGTGGCCTCGGGTTCCAACCAATGAACACGCTCGCCGATGTGTCCCAGCTTGTCCACGCCTACCGCCTTCTCTCCACGACCGACATGAAGCCAATCGCATACGCCCAACTCCGTGACGTGACCCAGAAGAAGCTCCAGCGCCCCGCCAACCACGACGAACTTGCCGACTACCTGAATGGCCGACTCGATGGGGACTTTGCCCAAGAATCTTCGGACTTCTCTTCGATGTGGTCTCGCCTTCGAACCGCCACTCTTCAACTCCAGAAGTACATGGCCGTGAAATGGGTGTGGCTCGTCGACCAACTCACGCTTCAATTGAACGACTCCAAGATCCCACCACGAAGTGTCAAGAAGTGCCTCCGATGGGCCACCCGCGACTACCCGAGAAGAAGCTCATCGGACCAGGGCAAGGTCTTCTCCGTCACCTCACTCTCCACGGCCTCCAACCACTTCATGCGCGACGGTTCCTTCGCCCGCTTCGCTGACTGGCGCTTCCTCGACCGTGCCCGACTTGACTGTGTGCCACTCAACGCGACTCGACGCTTCGGCCAAGGCGACAGACGGTGTGCTCATCCAGCCGAGACTCTGTCTCACGTGCTGTGCCACTGCAAGCCCCACATGGTCGCCATCACCCGCCGTCACAATGCCATCGTCGATCGTCTCGTCAAAGCACTCAAGCCACCAGCCACAGCTGAAGTCCGCCTCAACCAGCGTGTTCCCAACTTCGATGAGAATCTCCGCCTCGACATCTTGGTCGTCGACTCAGCCCTCAAGACGGTGAAACTCATCGACGTCACCATGCCCTTCGAGAACCGGTCCGAAGCCTTCCAAGTCGCCCGCCAAGAAAAACAACGCAAGTACGAGACGGTGGCCACGCACCACAAGAACCTCGGCTACGATGTGTTGTTCGACGCCTTCATCGTCGGCCCGCTCGGAGGATGGGACTTCGCCAACGACATCGTTTTGAAGAAAATGGGAGTCTCGGCTCGCTACGCTCGTCTCATGCAGAAGCTGATGGTGTCGGATGCCGTGAAGTGAAGTCGTGACATCTATGTGGAACACATCACCAGAAACCGACAATTTTTAATTTAACACTGGAGCCACTTCTCCGAGCCGTCTCTCAAACCAACAACGGATACGAGATGCATGGCCGAGATGTGGACGTGCTTGCCTACGTACGCTGACGACCTTGCTGTGATCACCGGTACCCCAATCCAACTTCAGAACACCCTAGATGTCGTGTCCTCGGCAGCTGACTGGCTTGACCTGAAGTTCAACTTCAAGAAGTGCGCCAGCCTGTGCATCAATGGGAAGAAGCGTGTGGCCCTCAACAACCGACTTCAAGTACAAGGGGAGTTTATAGTCGTCCACTCTGAAGATGATCTTTACGAACACTTAGGTACACCTACCGGCTACCACTCCGCTCCAAGCGTTCAGAAGGTGATTGAGAAGATGACCGCCCAGCTCGAAGCCGTCAATAACTCCCTGCTTGCTACATTGCAGAAGGCCGACGCCATCAACACATTTGTTTTACCATGCATTTCATTTCATCTAAAGAATGGTGTTGTAGTTAAGAAACCAATTACAGCATTCGACAAGAAGCTCAAGTCTGCCGCCAAGAAATGGATGAACCTGTCCGAACGAGCCAGCCCGGAACTACCTCTCCAATCCGATGGGTGGTCTAGGTTTGCAGCCAATAAGTTGTCTAGCAGATGTCTCCCAACTTGTCCACGGCCTCCGACTACTCACCTCACCAGACGTCATGGAATTCGCCGAAGCCTGCCTGCACGAGACGGTGACCAAACGACTTCGAAGGGCTCTACGTGATGACCAAGAGATAAGCCAGTATCTGAACGGTTCAATGGATGGAGATTTCAGAATCGAATCCAGCGACATCACCAACATGTGGAGCCGACTACGCCAAGCAAGAGTTCTACCGCCAGCGCCTCACCTCCAAGCCGGACCAGGGGAAAGTTTACAGCTTAACGACCAGTTCAAACTGCTCTAATCACTTTCTGCAAACGGGCCAATTCACCCGTTTTGCAGACTGGCGATTTATCCACCGAGCTCTTTTGGACTGTGTCCCCCTAAATGCCACTAGGAGATTTGGTAATGGTAACAAAAGTTGCAGGCGATGTGGACACTCGACCGAAACTCTTCCCCACGTGCTGTGCCATTGCAAGCCCCACCTCGCGACGATCACCCGAAGACACAACGCCATCCTGGACCGACTCGTAAAGGCTGTTAAGATCCCTGAAACTTCATTAATCCGTATTAATCAACAAGTTCCAGGCACCAACTCCAACTTTCGGCCGACCTCGTTATCCAGGATGACCAAGCGAAGACGGTGACCATCATCGACGTCACGATGCCCTTCCAGAACCGAGTGGACGCCTTCATCAATGCCCGACAAGAGAAGCTCCTCAAGTACGACGACATTGCCACTCAACTTCGGACCCTCAACTACGAAGTCTATCTGGACGCTTTTACGGTCGGCCCTCTTGGCGGATGGCGTCTTACTAATGATCTTATACTTGGGAAACTCGACGTGTCGCTCAAATATGGTCAACTCATGAAGAAGCTGATGGTGTCGGACCCAATCAAATGGTCTCGTGACATCTACGTGGAGCACCTCACCGGAAATAAGCAATATGTTGATTGAACAGAGAGAGGTCCTTACTTGTTATCTTACATTTATTATTACTGTTTGTATTTTTCTTCAAAATTGATGTATCTTAAAACAAGTTTTCTATATATTCTATTGTGATTTATACCTCATCCCTTCATTATATGTAAGTACTTATGTTTGTATTTGTATCCATCAATTCCATTGCCATCGGGCACCATATATTATTATTAAAATTTCAACACACAACAAAACAACAACAAATTGTATTAGAAATATCTGTTAGATAAAATTCTGTTACCTTTCTACTATTTTAAATGACTTTTCGAACAGTATTGTAGTGCTTTCCCTCGAAATAGGAGTAACAAAGAAGAAAGAAATGAGAGCACGTAATATTTGCATGATGTATTTATTCGATAATGTTTGATTCATCTTTTAGGGACAATCCGTGAAACAGGCCAATTGGGTGGATTGGATGGCCGATTACAAAGGGACAACAAAATTGTCCATCAGGACATGCATCATCGGTCAGACAGGGTGGAGCTTCACTTTGAGCATTCTATCAGATAACAAATGAATACTTATTTCGAAATAAACTCACCGAAAATCCAATAAGGACCAATGAGAAGAAAAGAACAAAGAAAAGACCAAGGCGCATTTTAATTGTAAGATTCCGTAGGGATTTCTGCCTTGGTCTCCTAACAATTCACTTTTATACTCGATTTGAGTTCAGTTCGAAGTGCATTCATATTCAAATGTATCCAGCACGATTTACAAATATTTTTCAAAATTCTGAATGGCATTAAAGACAAAATATGCATAAAAGCTAAAAACATCAAAAGATGACGAATCAAAAGACAAATGAATGTACAAAAATGTACAAATGAAGTCAAACGACTCGCAATAGGAAATTGCGTGCGAAAAAAGTTATCCAGCTTTTGTACAGACAAATAAATAGTACAAAAAGTACAAACTTTTCAAATTATAAATTGATGTACGTTTAAACGTCATCTTAAACGATGTGTTTCTGGACGCGTTGATCGTCGGCCCACTTGGAGGGTGGTGCATCCTGAATGAGATCGTTCTTCGACGCCTCCAAATATCGGTGAAATATGGACTGCTCATGCAGAAGCTGATGATCTCTGACGCAATCAAATGATCCCGGGACATCTATTTGGAGCATCTAACGGGCAAACGACAATATGAGACGACGTAAATTAACCCTGCTAAACTAAATATTTTCTTCTTAGATTTATAGTTGTGTGATTAATTTTGTGAGTTGTGATTATCTAAGTGAGTCAAATTCCTTTTGTCCACTTCCGTATTTTTCTTGATTTTTCCTGTAATTTTAGCCTATGCAACCCAATCTCTTTATTGGTTGTATTCTATATTTTGTATTGCCTTGTATATTGTGATGGACCGGCTGGGGTCAATACCATGCCCAATATTATCTGAATAAAACTTCCTCTGTTCTTATCGGCTTAATCTCCGGTACGAGTTCTATTGAACTCACCGAGATTAATCAATTTTTGGAACGGGTATGGTTTGTAGAAGCTTGCTTCTCGCCATACAGCGTCGGCCCGCTATTGCACTTACCGGCGGGATCGGCGCACACCCTTCGCAAGGGGGGTAACAAACCAACAAATGGGATTGGAAATATCTGTTAGATAAGATTCTGTTACCCTTCTACTATTTTAAATGACCATTCAAACCACATAACAGTATTGTAGTGCTTTCCTTCGAAATGGGGGTAAAAAAGAAGAAAGAAATGAAAACACGTAATATTTGCATGATGTATTTATTCGATAATGTTTGATTCATCTCTTAGGGACAACCCGTGAAACAGGCACCAATTGGGTGGATTGGAGGGTCGATTACAAAGGGACAACAAACTTGTCCATCAGGACATTCATCATCGGTCAGACAGGGTGGAGCTTCACTTTGAGCATTCTATCAGATAACAAATGAATACTTATTTCGAAATAAACTCACCGAAAATCCAATAAGGACCAATGAGAAGAAAAGAACAAAGAAAAGACCAAGGCGCATTTTAATTGTAAGATTCCGTAGGGATTTCTGCCTTGGTCTCCTAACAATTCACTTTTATACTCGATTTGAGTTCATTTTGAAGTACATCCATATTCAAATGTATCCAGCACGATTTACAAATATTTTTCAAAATTCTGAATGGCATTAAAGACAAAACATGCACAAAAGCTAAAAACATCAAAAGATGACGTTTAAGCGTACATCAATTTATAATTTGAAAAGTCTTTACTTTTTGTACTGTTTATTTGTCTGTATAAAAGTCGAATCACTTTTTTCGCACACAATTTCCTATTGCGAGTCGTTTGACTTCATTCATAACTGTACAAAAATATTTTCTGTTTAGTCTGTGTTTTGCGAACATACATATGAATAAGAATGTACTTCGAAATGAACTCAAATCGAGTATAAATATTGTAATTTGTGAGATCAAATTACCGGCGGAAATCACTCTGAAATCTTACAATCAAAATGGGCTTTGGTCTTTTCTTCATCCTTGTTTTCTCAATGGTCCTTATCGCATTTTTGGTAAATTTACTTCAGTTTGAACCATTACATTAATTAATCTAACTATAAGATAAAAAGCGACTCTTAACCATCAAAATTGATTTGGGAGTGCCCAAAGTGAAGCCCCAACTCATGCCTGCATCACTGGTGATCAATGTTCTGATGAACAAGTTTGCTGTACCCATCCCTCGAAAGGGGGGTAATAAAGAAATGAATGGGAACAGAAACCAGCTCTGTCATTGCTCGAACAGAGAATATTCAAAAAACTAATTCAAGGTTTTGTAGTGAAAAGTCGGCCATTGATCGATAACCTGAATAGACAATTGTAGAAGTGAATTTTATTGATGAGTTCAATAATATAGCGCAAATTTTATAATACTTCATAATTTGGATAGAGTCCTCGTTTGTTTGTGCGTTGATTTTTGAGAATTGAATTAACCAGCGAAGAACTATGCTGGTTATATGTATCTAAATCAAAAAGTAAGCACTCCGAATACGATCTGAGTGCTGAGAAAAGTGCGTGTGACGAACGGACAGACAAACAGACACTTGCCTTTTATATATAGCGCATTCCAGGAACTAATTGGTGGCTTTTTTTTTGCTCTGCCAACTATCCAAACACACCCGAGTTGACCTTGGACTCGAAAAAAGCGAGAGTGTTTTTTGAAATGAACATATGACGAACTCTGCTTTTTAATATTGATTTTAAAAGTTCAGTTTTAAAAAATAAATTGTTACTAATCTTTATTTTAATTGGATTGATGAAATGGAATTTGAATCAAATCTTCAAATTTTCAAAACTTTGAAATTTTTACTTCTTTATTTATTTAATAAAATGTCAGAGCTTTAAAGCTTTTGAAAAACTAAATTGATCTTTGAAAAGCCAAGGTTTTGACAAGATAATCTAAGCTTTGCAATTTTTTAAGCAAAACACATTTGTATCTTTTCTCTCTTGTTTCCCTTGGATACATGAATTTTTTTTTCTGAAAAACGAAAAGAATCAAGCAGCGGTGGAGAAAAAAAGAAAAAACCCGAAAAACCTTTCATTGACTATTTCTATTTGTTTAACTTTTTTTTGAGTCAATAGGGCAAAACTTTTTTGTAAAAGTTTATTAGTTTTTTAGATTATGCAAAATCCGTGACATTTAGGTTACAAAATACATTTAATTGCTGAATCTTGGCTAATTGATCGGCTCAAATTTGCGTAAAATGGCCAAAATGGTGAGTAAAAGTTCATAATCCATAAAAAAACTGTAAATTTTCATCTAAAAATTTGCAAATTCAGTAGATTTCCATTCCACAAGTGATATTTGTAAATATTTGGATAAGTTACTTAAAATCAAACTTTTTAAAAAAAGGAATGCTGAATATTTCTGTAGCTCAAAACTTTTAAATGCATTACTTTTCAACTTCAAGAATCCATGCTTCACGGTCGATTGCAAAGAGGCGCTCGAGGCGCTGAAAGAGCGAAAATTCCATCGACCGAACAAATCGACGGTTATGTTCCCAAATCTGGATCTCGTTGAAAAGTAAGAGATGAAATCGAATTCTGGGAATTTCAACAAAATTTAGTTAACTTCAGCGTCTTGAAATCAACAAGAAAGGACATTTTCAGAGATTTGGACACTCGACTTTCCAACATCACTCATGGAATCGGGGTGGCACTTCGGGAAAACGATCCACTTGCCATCGATTACTATTGCAATTCGATTATTGGGTATCATAATATAGTAAACATCCTGAGAACAGGACTTTGAAATTTTCAAAAGAATTTAATGTTTTCTAGGTACATCAATCGTTTGTCGTTTCGCCTCCCCCGGCAGACGCTGATCGATTTGATTCCACTCTTGATCCAAGCCGCTACTTTGCCCAATCAGAAAGGCGATTTGGTGCATACGATTTTTGAAGCACTAAATGTGCTTTTGGTGTAAGTTTTGAAAAGTTTAATTTATTGATTGATTTGGGAATATTGATTTCTTCGTTTCTTTAGTAAATCTCGGTTGACAAGAGCTGATTTGACGATTCCATTAAAGGCATTATTTGATCTATTTCAAGGAATCATTTATGGAAAGGTTTGCTAAAAATATAGAAATTTGCATAATATACATAAAAGTATACTTTATTCAACTTCAGAACGCCGAGGTTCTGTATCAGAACGTGTTCGGGACACTGGTGAGGATGAAGAGATTCTATGCGCTTGAAGACGTAAAAGAGTTGTGGAATACAAGGGTGAGAGTAAAATTGATCAATGAAACTAAATCTGCAATAAAATCGGATAAAATTTGCTAAAGAAACTTATCAGGAATCGAAATTTTTCCAGCTACTATCCCTGCTTTCCCCATTGGAACACGGCTTTCACTGGGTCGATTTGTGCACCACTTTTCTTCCAACTGATATGATGCGAGAAGAACATGAGCTCTTTGGTCAGCTTTCTAAATTATAGTTTTCAAAGAAATTTAGGTTCTGGCTTATGGTTCTCGACTCTTTGGAATCTTTACTCAAAATGCCAAATGAACGTCGGATGGAGCAAATATTTGCCTGAATTGTTTTACAAGTTCGTTAACTCATAATGAGCTTGTTTCTTTCTGTTTCTCTTTGTTCAAAACAAACCCTTTCTGGTGCACTCAATCCTTCATTTTGGATTCAAACCTTTGCTTTGAGAGAGTTAAATAAGGTGCGTTGCAAAATGATAGGACCACCCTTAAATTCTACATTTTTTCGGCTATGAAATTGAGTAACGCGAAATAGCTTTTAAATCCTAGAAATATATACAAAAATAGGCATCGGATTGGCTGGCATGAATTGAAGCATTATCCTGTTGAAAAATATAGTGCTTCCCTCGATTTTGTGTTAGGAAAGGAAGTAGTTGATCCGCAAGGACGTCCTTGTAATCGTTCGAGTTCATGCGACAAGTCACAAATTCTAAGTCAAGAACGTCATCCACATTGAAAGCGCCCATATGTTCCTTCTCCAAAGTGGTCCTTCTCCAAAGTTCCGACACCCACAAATAGAGTGTGTTCCTTGCAGACAACGCGTTTTCTAAAAAGCGCGCGCCAAGGATAAGCTACCGTAACCCTATGCTTTGCATCAGCAAATTTTTCAAAATGCAAATGTACATTAAAATCTTGCGCTCTTTTTTTCTATTACCTTCCTTAGCTCTATTACTCTTTCCTTAGCTCTATTACTCTTTCCTTAGCTCTATTACTCTTTCCTTAGCTCTATTACTCTTTCCTTAGCTCTATTACTCTTTCGCTAAAACTTAAAAATTTTTAAATGCTATTTAAAATTGAAGAAAACATTTAAAACGGGAAAAGTTAAGAAACACTATTAAAAAATTATATTATTTACGAATTTACCAGGCCTATTGTCTACATTTGCACTAGAACCATTCCAAAAAAAATTCCCGCCCTAAAAACCTAAATCCTTAAATAAACATCCATTACTATATTTTAAGAAGTTTGCAAATTTTTTTCGCGCGACCTTTATAGCTTTGCTTAAGCGCCCTTTTAGAAAACGCGTTGTCGGAAGTTTGTCGGATCAATTGTCTGACAAAAAAGTTGTCAATGAAAATTTGTCTGACAAATTGTCTGTCAACAAGGAGCACACTCTACCCACAAAGCATTGGATCTTTTCTCAAATGGTGCCAATAGTACTTGTTGTCGTCGGGACCATCCAAATTAAATTTTTTCTCACCGCTGAAGATGACCTACAAAGAAAAAATAGTTAACAACTCAAGGCAAAAAGTTTACTTTTTTCGAATCGATGGTGATGTGATCCCGAGCCCAAGACATTCTTTTTTCTTTGTGTGCCGGCTTCAGTTTTGGTGCTTTCTTCATGACTGCTCTTTTGATGTGACGGATGTAACACTTAATGGCTCGAGAAATAGTGCTTTTGTGGACGGGAGCTCCAATTTGTACCTTGACGTCCTGTAGCGACATCACCGAGTTCGACAACAGACGTCCCATATGCCGTTCAGCGTGAACCGTGAGATTTCAATGACGTCTCAGAGACTTTTTCTTGCCATACTTGAAAGGATCCTTCAAGAAATTTGAGACAACTTGGTGCGAGCGCTTCATTTTTTTGCGATCTTCCGATTCGACAACTTTCTTCCTTTCAAAATCAAAATTTTCATCTGTTCGATCCGCGAAAGCTACTTTCCATGCCCCATCTTCCTAAAAATAAAAATTAGCAAAAAGTAAGCAAAAACCATGGTTATTAGAGGTAGAAAATCAAAAGGAAACGTAGTGGTCCTATCATTTTGCGGCAGGTGTAAAATAAAGATATGCTTAAAAAATTTTGTCTTTTAAATAAATTATTTGGTAAACGGTATTTGTGCGTACTTTTGTATATAAAATTCGAATTTAAATTTTTTAAATTTTTAAAAAAAATTTAAATTCGAATTTTTCGAATTTTTGCATTTTTAGTTATTTAAAATCAAAAATCGCAAAAATCGAGGGTTGTCCTATCATTTTGCAACGCGCTTTATACCAGAGAAGCGTGATTTTAAAGCAAGATCCACCTAAAAGCCAAGATTTTATCTACCATTGAATCCCAGGCTGGTTCACAACAGAAGTTGGGTCCAGGCCTGGATTACAGAGGAATTTGAAGCAAAATACAGCCAGTTTTGGGGCGAAAATCTATCCCAGAAATTTGGGCATAATGACGGCCAAAGCGCCTGGCAGGCACACTATTAAAATTCCAGACTCGAACGCGACCAGCCCGGTTTAATTGATTGGAGACCGTATGAAGAAGAGATTTTCACAAGAATCTTGCGGGCTTTGCAAATGAAAGGAGAGGTAAAGGGAAAGACAAGAATATAAACAAAAACCGCATTTCAGTCTTCGACATACGGCTTGACGACATCATTGAAGCATTGGGCGGCGTGGGTCGCTTATCGATTGGGTCGAAACTCTTGCCTTTCTCAACTTCAACGAGTTCTGCGCTATGCTGAGCCACTTCTGCATCCCTCTAACGATGGGGTTATTTTAATCACTAGACCAAAATCCAAGGCTAGCTGTTTCCAAGCCAGACCCAATACAAGTCCATGATATCAAGCCAGGTGTCTGGCTTCTGGCTCGGGTATTACAGGCTAGAACCCAGACAACCTAACTAGACTTGAGGCAAGTGAAACACCCAACCAGACCTAACTAAAAGCAGGATCTAGAATACCTCTCTGACCCACTGTGTTCACTAGAAGTCTCTTTAGCCACACACCGAAGTGATTCTGCTGTTCTTGAACGAACTCACTCACAAAGTGCTCGCTCGATATCGACGAGAGCGAATCAAAAAGCACACAAAGGATTTGGTTGGAAGAGTTAATTAATCTCGTATGTCAGATGAATTTTAGAGGCCATCAGAATTTCATTTGGATGATCTTGAACTGCATCGTTTTGTCGTATCGATTCTCCCCGTTACCCTTTCAGCAGTTTTCTTAGAGATTGACAGTGAGGTCTGACAAATTTGTCCAAATACAGTATGCCACTATGGGGCATTCAGCTATTCAGAACTGACTATTTTATTGTTAGTAGGAGTAGAAGATATTCAGTCAGGCATCCGAATGTTGAACAGTAGCAAACTATACTTATATACAGTATATTTTTATTGAAGCTGAATTGCAAAAGTCAATCAACTCATTATTTTGACCAATTTTATTCAGCAAAACTTACCATCGGACATTTTGAAGAAACTTGCAACATTTGTGCCCTCTTTGGTGCTCCCGAAAATTCTTGAACTGTAAGTTTTGATCTTCAGAATTATCATTTAGAAAATTTTAGCGTGTATCCATCTTTGAAAGCAACTTGCGAACCGCATCGTTTCAATCAATCGTTGCGATGTCTTGAGGTATGACAAAAATAAGAAGCTCCAAATAAAAATGTATTTTTTTAGGAAGTGATTCTTCTATTGTGTCAAGAGAAATCAGAGGCTCATTTAAGCATTGTTTCAAATGGTTTCGGGAATGGGGAAGAGGCTTGAATTTTAAAAGGATGGCTATTATTTGAGTTTTAGGACGGAGTTGGATCATTGACTTTCACTGGGGAATCTAAGGAAACGATTTCAGTCAGGTAAGGCCAATATTATATTAGTTTAGACAGATTTTACTATCCATTCTTGAACGTTTATTGAGGAATTTTATTGTAGTCCTTTTTTTTGCAAAAACAAAAGCAGATATTCCTTCCAAAGTGCTGTCTTTAAATCCCTCATTTCAGATCGCACGTAATTTTGATACTGGATGAACTGGTTGATGGAATTGATATCAATGATCTAGACAAAATTATTATTGTTGTTCAGGTTTCTTGCGTGGTTTGCTTTTGACAACACTCATTCTAGATCATGTCCCACTTTTTTTATTTAATACCAAATGTGGATGCATCGAGTCTAGCGGAGAATGGGGATTCACTCACCCATGAAGAAAGCGCACTTTGTCGTTTAACTGCCCGACTTCCAGTCATTGCTGAAAAGGCTATTGAAAAGTTATCCATAATTATTTTTTATCAAGTAATAATCAATTTAGAATCATTACAATCATTACAATTCTGGCTGCTGTACCGGAAAGGAATGAGGAGGGATGTAATGGAGTGAGTTTCATTTCATCATTCATTTGTTTAAGAGTAGACTTCTGAACAGAATAGATAGCTTTCAAGATAGCTTATCTTTCGATTTATTACCCAATTTTAAAAACTAAAGTTTCCTGGTGATTTGTATTTAAAATTGTGCGTGGTTGATGACATATGTGTCTTGAATCTGATGAAAACAACGTAATTTTATCGATACAAACAATAATTTGTGGAAAATGAAGAATTGAATTGAAGCATTATCCTGTTGAAAAATATAGTGTTTCCCTCGATTTTGTGCTAGGAAAGGAAATAGTTGATCCGCAAGGACCTCCTGGTAATCGTTCGAGTTCATGCGACAAGTCACAAATTCTAAATCAAGAACGTCATCCACATTGAAAGCGCCTCATATCATCAGTGATATCTCCTCCGAGGTTTTGACGCCCACAAAGCATTGGATCTTTTCTCGATCGTGATGTGATCCCGAGCCCAAGACACCCTTTTTTCTTTGTGTGCCGGCTTCAATTTTGGTGCTTTCTTCATGATTGCTCTTTTGATGTTACGGATGTAACACTTGATGGCTGAAGAAAGAGTGCCTTTTGGACGGAAGCTCCAATTTGTACCTTGACGTCCTGTAGCGGCATCACCGAATTCGACAACAGACGTCCCATATGCCGTTCAGCGCGGGCCGTGAGCTTTCGAGGACGTCCCGGACACTTTTTCTTGCCATATTTGAAAGGATCCTTCAAGAAATTTGAGACAACTTGGTACGAGCGCTTTATTTTTTTGCGATCTTCCGATTCGACAACTTTCTTTCTTTCAAAATCAAAATTTTCATCTATTTGAGCCACGAAAGCGATTTTCCATGCCCCATCTTCCTAAAATATAAAAATTAGCAAAAAGTAAGCAAAAAAACATGGTTATTACAGGTAGAAAATCAAAAACAAACGTAGTGGTCCTATCATTTTGCAACGCACTGTATAGCCGAAATGCCGTCGCGACTATAGTAGGAAAAGACAGAAAAGGACACACTCTAGCAAAACACTCGTAAATAGGTGTTGACTGTAGATTCAACACACCAAGCTTAAGATTAACATCAACCCCAAGATTTTCCGAAGAACTTTCATATTTTTGATGCGTAACAGCAACTTTAGACAGAATCTGAAGAATTCGGAAGTGACGAAAAGACTCTCAAAAAAGCAATCGAGAAATGCGTGAATGCTTTGTTTGTAAATGCTGTCAAAGCAGTTCGCTTGGTAGACAAGAATTTTTTGCCTAAATATTCAAGCGTTCCAGAAAATGGCACATCAAATCCTATCTTTTGTACATACAAATGTGATCGGGGCCTCATTGGCGGCAGATTTAGCTCAAACTCTTGTTCAATCGGCTGTTTTTGTAAGTACAGATATTGGACCAATTTCAGAAGCGCTTAGTATGTTTCAGTATGTCCCCGAAGTGGCTGACGAATTGGTTTCATTTATCTGTCAAAAAGTAACCAGTGGACTCAATGATTTCACTCAGTCTGGTAAAGCAAAGTGTGATGCAGCTCTACGATGGTTTACTTATGAAATTTTTAACAAATCTGGTCAAGTTTTCAGGTGGGCCAACTTGTTCCCTTGTCTCGTCGTCACTCCATGGGTTTCTGAAGAGAATCGAGAGAAGATTCTGCTTGTTGTTGATGATCTCCTCACACAAACCGATCCGGCACTTTATCAGGTGAGAAATTTTACATTTAAGGAAACTACAATCTGATTAACGATTCTATTTTTATCCGAATTTTAGAAAAGAGCAGCTGAGCAGCTGTTTTCTTTACAAAAGTCGGCCATGAATGAACTTTTCAGTTAGTTTGAAAGGCAAGCAAGAAACCGTAACCTTCCAAATATGATGCAAATTTGTTTATTAATTGCTTTTTGAAACGCTGTTTAGGTAACCAAAAACTTTGCACCAAAATTTCAGCCAGCCACCTACACATTGAGTGGTTTCTTGGTCTTCTCTTTACAAATTCAAGAATCTGGATGGATGGCAGTACACGCGGAGATTGACAAACCGCTAACAGAATGGATTCCTGTTAGGGTAAAAATATTCATTGACAATATTTTAAGTAAACCGTAGCATTGGGGAACGCTTCACTCCCAGAAACAGATGAAGGTGCATTGGCGAGCGCCCGGCGAAGCGGAGATCGATTTTGCGCAACAAATCATCAACAAGTAATAAAACTGATAACGACTGACCAGAAATCAATATTATTAACAATTTCAGATATTTCAAAGGAGTGGTTGAACGGTTGACGAGTGATGAGTCAGCAAAAAAGTAATAACTATTTAAGTCTAAAATATAATTTTGTTTCAGCGAAGCGATTCGTAGAGATCTTTTCTTGATGAGAGTTCTTTACTTTACTTCAAAACCCTTGCTACCACCGCTGAATGAAATCGAGGAAAAAATGGATGAAGTGATTGAAAATTTTAAAATCTCGAAAAACTTTATAGGAAACTGATGAGAGCGTGAAAATTCCTCGATTCACTTTACGGCCAAAAATCGCAAATAAAGGTAGATATTTCTGAAAAGTCAGCATAAAGTTATAGAATTGACATTGAACGGCGCTGACTTGTGCACGACTTTTGTGAAAACTTTGGAAATGATTCTGGCGAGGACATCGGAGGTTTGGGAATGCTTTTGGAAATCACTGTGCCAAATTGAAATCAAAAAATCCTCACTTTAGAATAAACTTAGTGGTGAGCAAGTGAATCTGGAATTTTATTGGTCAGCAAAATTAGATTGACTTTTAAAGCTTTCTAAAAGGATAAAGATAGAAAGCTACCGCCTTCCATGTGTAAATTTTGTCTGATTAATCTAGACTATTAACCCATTCGAAACTTCTGCAGCGAATAATCGCTGCAGCAAAAACTCAGGAACGGACCGCTGCAGCGATTATTCGCTGCAGCGCTAATTGAGCTATTTTCATTCAATTAATTGGTTTTTGCTGTTTTCCAGCATTACATGTATATTCCGATTGTAACAGATCTACAAATTACGTGGGCAAAAAAGAAGTGTCATATTTAATGTTATATGAATGTTGCAAAATTAACTATTTTTCATTTTTTTTTTTTCAACAAGGGAAAATCAACAGTTTTGTTTTTTGCATAACAATTGACGCAAATGGGTTTCTCACTCGGTTGCACTCGTTGCACGCTTGGGTTCTTTCTGCTTCTTTGTCCTTCTGCTTCTGTTTTTCTCTATAACAAACAAAGCAGTTTTTTGGTCTCTCTTTTGGTCCTGGATCTCCTTCAAAAACGAGGTGTCTGGACGCAGTTCCCTTCTCTCTTCAATAACGATTCAATTACTGCCAATTTGAATCCAAAATGTTTTTCTCTGGTTGGTGCATACAACCTGTACGCGTTCACCAAGCACGTTTGAGTAATAATTGAAAAAGACTCTTATATACCATTTACATGTTCGGCTAACACTTGGTATGCTTGCCATTTGGTCACTATTGTCTACGAACTGCATCGTTGTTGTAGTCGGCAACAACTAAGGGCTTATTATTTACTCCTCTTTCATCTCCATGACAAGTCGAAATCATCATAACAGGCTTTTTGTCACGCCATTGCATCGCCATGATTCCGTCTTTGATCAGTGCCATTGATTCGCCTCTCTTGAGCTTCTTCTGAATCACTCTTTTAGGGAAGCCTTTTCTATTTCTTCGAAATGTTCCAACGTAATCGGTCGTGTTGTCTAATAATCTCTTGGCTAATGAAATTGAAGAATACCAATTGTCGGCGAATAAAGTTCTTCCCGCCCAATATATGTTCCATCAACTGCATACAACATGCTCAGAAACAGACTCTTCCAGTCTTTGCACACGTCCACAGTAAAGAATAATCTTATGGGTAAAGCCGCCTTTGCTGCATAACTTGAATATCTTGATGCCGAACTTGTGTTTCTTCAATGGGATATATTGACGGAAGTTGACTCGACCACGGAAGAAAATAAGAGATTCGTCAATGCAGATTTTTTGACCCGGAATCAATGCAGCCTCTGATTTTGCATTGAAATGTTCCATAACAGCTCTAATCTTATAGCCGTCTCCTGCAGGCCAGTTCATTATCACAAAAATGCAGGTTTCGAAGGATAGATTCAAATTTTGCTCTTGACATAATGTGGGACATGTGGGAAAATCCTCCTAATCCAGGCCTGCTACTTCAGTAGTCACGAATCCTCGGTAATTTGACGATTCCCATTTGAAGATACAGAGCCAAGAAGAGCTTGAAAGATTTTGCATCGAAATCCTGCCAGTTTGTTTTCCTTTTTCCATGTTTATTAGATTCGCCTACTAACATATTGATTAGTTTGTCGTCGATAAAATAAGAATAATAATCGATAGGATCTTGAAAAGTGCTGAAGTCAAATCCAAATCGTTCTTCATCAAAAATAAATGGTGTAGGAGGCTCTCGTAAATCTTTCCAACCATCTGGATAAACTGCTTCGGACACATCGTCATCCTCTTCCTCGGTTCGCTTGAACTTGTGACAATCTTCTGGTTGAATTGTCAATCATCTGATCCATCCATAGACTCCAAATCACTGTCAATAAATAAATTATTGAGAGAATCGTTCAATTCGTCATCCATAGCGCTATCTGAAAGAAGAATAACTTAGATTAATATATAGAAATTGTCAAAACAATATAAAATAAAACGTCAGCAAAATTACCGCGGGAACGGACCGCTGCAGCGAAAAAATGTCAAAAAAGGGCTTGGTCCGCAGACGAAAAAAAAGAAAAAACGCTCCGGTTTCGAATGGGTTAAGCTCATTCGTAAGTTAAGTGTAGAAAATGTAGTAAAATTTGCGATAGTTTTTAGAATGACGAGGAGCAGACCCGCTTGCTCTTACACATCGCTCAATGTGCCACATTCGCTACTAACTCTTCAGTCGTATTTGCGGTTTAAGCTTTTCCAATTTATAAGATTCCAAATTTTCAGGGAATCCTTTTTGAGCAAATGGAAACGGTAAACGATTTGGTGAACCGAGTTCAGTGCTTGGTTCAACGAGAAAAGAGGTTTATTACTTATTTGAAAATTTTGACTATTTTTACAGAATGCCCCTTGCGCTTGCTCATGCCTCACTGGAACTCGATTACATAGTAAAGAAGAGTTGTTTTTTCAGCCTAAAAACAAAAAAAATTAGGTTTACCAGTACTTTCTTCCGAACGGACCATTCACGTCGGTTCATCTCCGAGTTTTGCGGATGCTCGTTCAGTGTTCATTAAGTGGATATCAAGAAGTGAGTTCAGAGAAGTTATTGTTTTAATTTGGTCCTCAAATTCAGCTTTTAAGATAACAAAAAAACCATCTAACGCTGAATATTCTTATAAAAGTTTGTAATTATAGCAAGTTTGTGTTAAATTTATGGCTTTGTAAGCAAAAATGAAGTCTTTTAATTGGCAATATATCGCCAGGAACAACCAAAATGCCTCATCGCTTGAATTTTTCTCGAAAACCATCTGAATTTTCTGAAGTTTCTAATTAAACCTAGTCAGTCAAAAGCAATACTATTTTTTAAAATTCCTTCTAGACGAATCGCAAAATTTCCGGTTGATTGAGGTTGAAACGCAAAAATTATAGCTATAAAAAGTTGGCGAGTCGTAATCGGATTTCAAGTTTTTAGCTGTTGTTTCACTTAAGAAAATAGGTCTTTGCACTCGATGAGAAGGTTCCGTTTTTGCGGAAAAATGTTTTCTAGATCAAAATTTCATCTAGATTTTGAATTTCTAAACCATTTTTCCAAAAAATTTTCTAAAAACGAGATGAGTCCGAAATTTTGTGTCATCCTGTATGTTCATAAGCAGTGAAATTGTAACTTGTAACTTGTTGACTGTGCACAATTTTCTATATTTATTGCAAAAGACAGCTTCTAACAATTTATTTAATATGTAGTGTCAATGCAGAAACTATGGCAGGGCTTTTTAATTATAGCAAGTTTGTTGAAGCTGAAACGCAAAACTTATACAGTGCGTTGCAAAATGATAGGACCACCCTCGATTTTTGATTTTAAAAAAACTAAAAATGCAAAACGATGCTTAAATTCGAATTTTATATACAAAGTACGCACAAATACCGTTTACGAAATCATTTACTTTAAAAGCCACAATTTTTTAAAGCATTTCTTTATTTTACAGGGTGACCAAGAATTACCGCAACACACAAAAGGCCTGGCTTTTAACCAAATATGCAACCCATCTCGAAAAGCTAACTTTAATATCTTTATTCAACATATAACAGTAACAAATTAACAATTAAATTCAAATTTGCCTCCATCGGCATTCAGACAGGCCTGCAAGCGTTTGGGAAACGCGTTGACCGTGGCGAGCAAATAGGCATCATCGAGAGAATCTCATGCTTTGATGAGCGCCTTCTTCAAACTTACGATTTAATAACGTTGAATGGTTCGAGAAACGAGGCTTCTGGGGACATTCAGGCGCTTTGAGATCTCGCTCGCCTGAACACGCTGCCGCTTGAGCTCAAGAATCGATTGTCGATATGGAGACGCTTTCACCATTCCTGAAAACAACCATACTAATGTATTGAAAGTTAGTAATCATACCATAAAATAAGAAAAATACACAAAAACCATAAAAACAGGTAAGCAAAAAGTAAAATGGGGCTCATAACATAATACGACGTTGTTGCGGTAATTCTTGGTTACCCTTTACACCTGTTGCAAAATGATAGGACCACTACGTTTGTTTTTGATTTTCTACCTGTAATAACCATGTTTTTTTGCTTACTTTTTGCTAATTTTATATTTTAGGAAGATGGGGCGTGGATGATCGCTTTCGTGGATCGAACCGATGGAAATTTTGATTTTGAAAGGAATAAAATTGTAGAATCGGAAGTTCGCAAAGAAAATGAAGCGCCGCATCAAGTTGTCGCAAATTTCTTGAATGATCCTTTTAATTACGGCAAGAAGAAGTCTCCGGGATGTCATCGAAAGCTCACGGTCCGCACTGAACGGCATATGAGACGTCTGTTGTCGAATTCGGTGATGTCGCTACAGGACGTCAAGGTACAAATTGGAGCTTCCGTCCAAAAGGCACTCTTTCCCGAGCCATCAAGTGTTACATCCGTAACATCAAAAGAGCAGTCATGAAGAAAGCACCAAAATTGAAGCCGGCACACAAAGAAAAAAGAATGTCTTGGGCTCGGGATCACATCACCATCGATTCGAAAAAAGTAAACTTTTTGCCTTGATTTGTTAACTATGTTTTTCTTTGTAGGTCATCTTCAGCAATCAGAAAAAAATTTAATTTGGATGCTCCCGACGGCAACAATTGGCACGATTGGCACGATTTGAGAAAAGATCCAATGCTTTGTGGGCGTCGAAGCTTCGGAGGAGGATCACCGATGGTTCGACAAAATCGATGTTGTGACGTTCCAGAAAAGCTTTAGTGGATTAACTGACATGAATTGAAGCATTTTTATGTATTATTCGATGGTATGGGGCGCTTTCAATGTGGATGACGTTCTTGATTTAGCATTGGTGACTTGTCGCATGAACTCGAACGATTACCAGGAGGTCCTTGCGGATCAACTATTTCCTTTCCTAGCACAAAATCGAGGGAAACACTATATTTTTCAACAGAATAACGCTTCAATTCATGTCAGACAATCCACTAAAGCTTTTCTGGAGCGTCACAACATCGATTTTCTCGAATGGCCTGCTTGCTCACCGGACTTAAACCCAATGGAAAACTTATAGGGCATTCTCATGAGGAATATTTCTGTTAATGGAAAGACTTAGGACACAATTTCGCAACTCAAAAAAGCAATTTTGCAAGCCTGGAAGTCAATTCCACCACAAACGCTTCAAAACTTCGTGAACTCGATGAAAAGGCGACTACTCGACGTCATCGAGAAAAAGGGAGCATCCAGTGATTATTAATGAACTCTTCATTCGTCTTTCTTTTGTTCATTCTCAAATTTATTGTTATTTTTTATGTGGTCCTATCATTTCGCAACAGGTGTTAAATAAAGAAAATGTGATAATTTGG